TAAAAATGTTTCATCATATTTGTTATATTTTCTTAAATATATTTCTTAAAATAATTTATTGTACAGGTTGTTCAATGGTTAGTAACTGGACAAAATTATTGTCTGAAGCTCCTCTATAGTTTGTACTCTGCTCTTTTTAATGTTGACCCCCATGCCCCCTTTTTTTAACAAGTCAGAGAAGATTTTCACTTGCTAAAATAAAGTTTGATGATCCATCAACCAGAGAGGTGAATGAGAATGCATTCATGGCTGTTCACTAAGTTCCCAGATAATCATAGAGGAATACAATGCAACACATGATGCGGTTGCTTCAGACATGTCGTGGCATATGATGGCGTTGAAAATCAACGTTACTCAATGACACCATCATTTATGTAGCCATGCTTCCCCTTGACTCTGAATAAAGTGAAGAGGTTGCATTAATAATATCATAAATAATGCATTATAGCATTATATTAAATATATATAACCCACTACAGAATTATATATATATGTTATATTAACACAGACTTGTCTTATATTACTTAAGAAAAGTAATTAGGATAAAAAAAATACACAGGAACACATATTGAGCTGTGCTTCGAATTTTATTGATTTGAAAATAAAAATTTCATCTCTAAATTTCAACAGAAATAATGTGATAAAAATAGCCTATTACCTATTGAGTTGTTTTTAAAAAATAGTATATCTAATACTGTTTTACATATCTATATATACAGACTAATGTTTTTATATATAACTTATATGAAAATATATATATTTGCAGGTCAGTATATGTATGCATGCATGTATGTATATGAGTGTATGTGTAAGTGTGTGTGTATATCTATATACACACACATATACTGATCTGCACACTATCAGGCAGGCTATTCTAGAGGTCACAGAATACAAAGAATCACAGACCAGTAATTTGAATTTGAATTGCATGCTTTATTGAATCTATTTAAAGCAGAGCAAGAAGCGAAGGGAAAGAGATGGGTAGGTTATGTTTAGGATGGGGTGTAAGCAGGAAGGAAAAACCACATTTCCTGAATTCTATATTGTACAATGTCCACGTGTCTTGTTCCTCTCTCTGCTGCATTAGCCTTCCAAACTAACAGTGTGATTTTAAGGATCCAAGTTCATAGTAAATGAGAGGCCTAAGTGGCTGAAGATATATAAAGCCAAATCAGGCTCATTCGGCAGAAGAGATGCATAGACAAGTACATCTGGCTACGACTGTGATCTGCCTGACCAGCAGCTGTGATGTTATTGCTGTCCTTTGGGCAGAAGACATATGGGCCAGAGTGGATGTCATCACTGAGTGACTAATTTAGGGATGTCATAGCTGTCAATGTGAAAGTGACATGAAATGTCCCTTGTGAATTTTTAAGATTTATTTGCTACTGTCATCTCTTCCTACCTATAATTAATATTAATTAATTACTTTGTTTACACCTCAGTTCAACTCACATTGTGTTCCATTTTTTCCATCTCTGTTATAACTTGGAGGTTACTTCCTATATCTGTACTTATGAGGTTCTTATAAGTTTCACCTGTGTTACAAGCTATTTGCTTACTTACTATCTATACTGAGGGTTATCTTTACTGTTTGTTTCTCTTGTTCATTTCTCTTATTCCCTAAAGCAGAATTGAATATTCTTAAGTATTTTAGCAAATACACATCACTATAGATTACTTAGCAATTGACAAGGAGCTATAGAGTGGCACTTGAAAGATATTCTTTTCCTCTTTCTGTCTCTCAACCCCTTGCTTTAACCATGCAAGTTGGCAAAAACAGCTTTGCAACCTTCTTAGAGAATCTCCACCCTAAACAGACCTATCTTTCATAAGTATAAAGTACTTAAAGTTAAGTATTTACTATTTGAACTTCTCTAGTTTAGTCTAAAGTGAACACATATATTGAAAATGTCTATAAAGTATCTTGAAGTGCTTTAAAAACACTTCAGTGACACAAAACAAATATTTTGGATGGTTTTTCTACTGGCGGTTGTTTGTGGATATTTGATTCTTTGACTTTAAAAGGTTGGAAAAGATAATTGACATTTTTGACTTAAGAAAAAAAAAATTCATGATGCTAAAACCAAATATTTACAAAAAAGGGATGTAAATAGTCAGGACATTTAAAAAAAATATACTGCCGCTCCCAAGAATGTTCATCAGCATACATCGAGCACACATAAATTAGTATTTTGGCTATCAGTATAATCCAAAAAATTAGAGACATACTTGTACATCTTCTATCCCAAGTTAAATTTTAATCATAGTGACCTTTGTTATCAGATACTATATATAGTCATGCACCACATAACAACATTTCCGTCAGTGGCAGACCACCTATATGACAGTGGTCCCATAAGATTAGTACCATAAAGCCCAGGTGTGTAGTAGGCTATACCATCTAAGTTTGTGTAAGTACTCTCTATGATGTTAGCACAATGACAAAATCACCTAATGATACATTTCTCAGAGCGTGTCCTTGTTGTTAAGAGATGCATGACTGTACAATAATACAGATTCCATAATGGTTCAGTGAGTTTACAAGAAGCTGAACTTCCCTGTGTATATCACAGACATAATAAGTCAGACCCAATAACAGTAGCAATAGCTTTAACTTTTCCATAAATGTTACCTGTCGTATAAATTACTGATTGCATTATTTCTGTTATTTTATTTAATCAACATATTGATTTGCAAAGTATGCCTTATTTTACCAATGTTTCACTGTGACTCAGAGAGGTAAATACTTGGTCACAAAGTCAGAAAGTGACTAACGCAATAAAAAAGTACATATTTTGTTGATTTTAAAGTCTCTATATTCCACTATAATGTGACCTTTCTCAAAATGATGTGATAATAGAGTTTGGATTCTTCTACCCTTGTGCACTATTTGTGTCACTGTTTCTGTAGCTAATCCATGTGTAGTGCTCTTTGATCGCAGCAAAAATATATCTTGACCTTTCCTGTCATTCTACTATGGATTGTTTTTCATGTTTATTACAGTAATTTCTAATGACATTGAAAAGCAGAAAAAAACAATATATTGGATTTTCATGTACTCACCATCCATTCCATAGTTACCAATGCATGTGTATACTTGCTTCTATGGGTTTCTTCCCTCCCCCACCATTTTATCCATAATAATTATGATTGTATATGTAAAAGAGAAGAAATCCTCTTTAATAAACACAACCACACATATCTTCTCATACCTGGGAAAGTAACAATAATTATTAACTTCATTAAATAAGCAATCAGTGTTCAGATCTCTCTAATTGCCTTGTGATTTTAAAATTATTACTGCTGTATTCTTCCTCTTCTTCTCCTTCCTCTTCTTCTTTCTCTTCTTCTAACTCAAGATCTAAACAGTGCCACTTGTTTTTTGTTTAATACATCTCACTGTATTATTTATTACTGCTGTATAACAATCCACCGCAAAACTCAGTGACTGTAGTTTTGATTTCAGCTAGCCTCACACACTCTTCTTAAATTTGACGGTAGGTTAGCTCATCAAGGCTGGGCTCAGTTAGTTTGGCCCTGCTATAGGATGTACTCTCTCACCCTCCTCCAGTAACCTATGGGCTAGGCTAGGAGGCCCTTACTTCAGTAACAGACTTGCAAGAGTGTAGGTTCAATTGCACTAGTGCCTTTTTAAAGCATCTGATTTCATCAAGTCTGCTAGCCTTTCATTCTCCAAGTGAAGTCACCTGGTCAAACTTAGAAACAAGGAGAGGAGAATGCAGCTCCACTCACGGTGACGAGGACACTGTGAAGTTAGAAGGCAAATGGCAAGTTAGAGGAGAAGTGAAGAACTGGGGCCATCGGTGCAATCTCCCACAGTTGCTATATCTTATAAGTCTCTTAATTTATAACAGTGGTTTTCAAAACTTTTTGTCGTAGAACTCCTTACACCCTTAATAGTTTTGAAAATCCAAAGGAACTTTTGTTTATGTGGGTTATATCTGTCAGTATTTAGCATATTAGAAGTTAAAATGGAAAATATTTTAAATATTTATTTATAAATTTATAGAAATTTCATAAAATTTGTCCAGATATTACAAATGTTAATAAAAATAATATATTTTTTAAAAATTTACTATTCTAAAATAAAGAAAATAGTGAAAAGAATGGCATTGTTTCACAATTTTGCACAGTTTAATATTTGACAATAGATGACAGCTAGTTTCTCATGTTTGTTTGCTTCTGCCTCATATCTATTGTTATATATTTTTTTGTTTTGGTAAGGAAGATTAGCCATGAGGTAACGTCAGTTGCCAATCCTCCCCTTTTTGCTGATGAAGATTGGCCCTGGGCTAACATCTGTGCCCATCTTCCTCTACTTTATATGTGTGACACCTGCCACAGCATGGTCTGATAAGCGGTGCATAGGTCTGTGCATGAGATCCGAACCCACAAACCCAGTGCTGCTGAAGCACAGCACGAGAACTTAACTGTTATGCCCCTGGGCCGGCCCCTATTGTTACATATTTTTGACTAAAGTACAAGAAAAAAAATCAGGCTTAATATCAGTATTATTTGCTTTGCCTTTTCAGTTAATTGTGGATAGTCTTCCTTGACACTACGCAAAACTCAACAAGTGGTACTTAAAGGTCAGCTGAAATCTTAAACATTATCAATGAACTTTATGTGGTCAGTTACATGCAAATCCATTGGGCTATCTTGCATCTTGAATAAATTTTGAAACATCTTGCATTGCAATTTGGAAAATATTGGTTCATTGATGAGAGCAGATCTTCTAAATTTTGGCACATTCACATAATATCAAAAATTACATTCACTAATATCATTATTGATCTCTTGAGAAGGTTTTTAAATATTGTGAAGCTGTTACAGTGGTGGATGCACATTTTCCAAAATGATTACCACCACAGTGTTAGCTAACATTGGCATCATGGCATATAATTACCATTTCTTTTTTGTGGTGAGACCATTTAAGATCTACTCTCTTAGCAATTTGCAAGTATATAATACAGTATTGTTAACTGTAATCACCATGGTATACATTAGATCCTCAGAACTTATTCATCTAATAACTGAAAGTTAGTACCCTTTTACCAACATCTCCTTCATCCGCCCCCTCACCCAATCCCTGGCAACTATTGTTCTGCTCTCTATGAATTTGGCTTTTTCAGATTCCACATGCAAGTGATTTCATACAGTGTGTGTCTTTCTCTGCCTGACTTACTTTGCTTAGCATAATGCCTTCAATGTCCTGTTTCAAATGACAGGATTTCTTTCTTTCTCATGGCTAAATAATATTCCATCATATATATCTCACATCTTCTCTATCCTCTCATCCATTGGCAGACATTTAGGTTGTTTCCATATCTTGGCTATCATGAATAATGCTACAGTGAACATGGAGTGCAAATATCTCTTCAAGATCCTATTTTCATTTCCTTTGGATATATACCCAGTGACATCACTGCAAAATTCTTTTGTTGTTGCTGTTGTTGTTGTTTATAAGGTCAAATTTTACCATTAGTAACAAATACTGTCAGTTACTTTCTGTGAAGTGATATGCTCATTTTGTTCATTTTTGAGAAATGTCTGCCAAATGCCCAAGTCTAAGTAATATATAGTTTGACTTTCAGTTGTTCTTTCAAATAAAAAATGTAGTCTATGAAAAAAGCAGCTATTTCAGCTCACAATTCATACAAACACACGTGCTTTTCCTTGAGACTACTGTAGGGGAGGAAGAAATTATTCCTCTACTCTTCTATGTTCTTTTGGCTTGTCTAAGAATTAAATTGACATAAGACAGAATAATAAATTCAAACAAGTTTAATAACATGTATACACGGGACAACCTAAGAAAACTGAGTAACTTGCCAAAAGGGCTGAAACTACCACCTTAAATACTATCTTCAGCTAAAGACAAAGGAGATTGTTGGGGGTAGTCGTTTGGGACTTCAAAGAGGAGGAAGGCGATTCATATGGAGATGGAAAAGCAAAGGGTGGGTAAACAAATGCTTGCCATGTCTTGCAAAGACAATGGAAGGTGAAGAGGACTTTGATCAAATGGGCCTTGCTAGGTTCCTCCTTGTCTACCACACCTAGTTCAAGTTATATTATACTTATCTGTGGTGATATAGCTTCTTCCTGGAACAGGTCTCCTATCTTAAATTCTTTTAGGCAGTTAGGGGGAAGGTAAAAGTTTCTTCCTGGGTCTTTTGTTCTTAAAAATAATCAAGCCAAAGAGATACATTTTGCGATAGCAAATTCTACCCCTCTGTATTAACATTGCAATTCAGTATGTAACAAAAGTACTTTTTGTATACTTCCTATTTTGCCACCCAGAATTTTAAAACTCAAGAATCAGTGTCAATAAAATTAACAATTGTTTTTGTCCCATTGAAAACTTTCATAATTGAAACTGCTTTTTATTTTGAGATGAGTGCTGTGGCAACAACAAATACAATAACGCTAGTACAATTTGGTGCCACTTCCTTAATCTGTGGCAAGATGCCAGCAGTTTTACCCACCATTGTTTTGTCAAGATCAATGCAAATGTTAATACAGCAAAAAAGGAAAATAACATCTTAATAATATTGCATAAATAGTTTTTATCTCTGATATCCTGGTAAGAATCTTGAGTTTTGTTGAAGCATTCTTGTGTTTTGTGTGACACGTTGGGTTTTTTTTTGTCTTTATTTTCCTTAAACTTACTTATAGTTGCAGCCAGGGTCTTGATCAGTACAGGTTATTTTTTAAATAAAAATACTTCATAGGAGGAGTTGTCTTTTTTTGTGTTATATTACCAACTGTTGGTAATCATTGCCTGGATCTATTATTTTATTAGGAAATACCAAAATTGTGATTTTAAAAATTCTATCATTTCTTATCTGTATATCAGTTGGAATAATTCTATACGGAGAAATTTACCCTCATCAACTATTTAGTCACCCTGGGAAGACTTTCTATAGAAACGAGAACTGGGGCCAGCCAGGTGGCATAGTGGTTAAGTGTGTGCACTCCGCTTTGGCAGCCTGGGGTTCTTGGTTTCAGATCCTGGGTGTGGATGGACGCACCACTCATTAAGCCATGCTGTGGTGGCATCCCATATGCAAAATAGAGGAAGATGGGCATAGATGTTAGCTCAGGGCCACTCTTCCTCAGCAAAAAGAGGAAGATTAGCAACCAAAGTTAGCTCAGGGCCAAGCTTCCTCACAAAAAAAAAAAAAAAAGAAAGAAAAGAGAACAAATTGCTCAAATATGTGAAATTAAGGAAATTTCAATAATATACAACTAAAAACTTCATTGACCCACTCTGGAGGCTTTTAGTAAACCAACTCATTTTTTGAAAGTCAGTCAGTAAGGGAAAGAATATGCATTTATCCTGCTTTTTCCTACATAGACTCTACTAATAGTTTTGTTTTTTTAATGTTTCACATTTAACTTTCATATTTTAAAATACAAAGTACCTTTTAAGCAATTATAAATTTCAAATATAAATTATAAGGTAACAATAAGCAAAACAAAGATATGACTGGCCACGTCCAATTGGCTTCAATAATAGATTCCTACAGAGTGAATGATTTGTCACTTTCCAGGGTTGTGGCCTTCAGACTTTCATTCTCAAGATCTAAATTAGCAAGACAAAAATAATGAATTATTTTGCTAGACAGTGTCACAATAGCAAAGACACAAACTATATGAATGAGAAGCCAATTAAAGCAGAATAGTATGCTTAGTTAAGAGGATGGAATCAGATCCAGGGAAGAAGTTACCACTTTAATAAATACATACTGCTTGACCTAGACATATAGAACCCTGAGGACAAGAATTACTCTCCCCTGAATAAGACAGGAATGAATAGTGCTAACAGTCACCTCTCTAATGCTACTTTTGTGTGTGTATATATGGTTCTATTGCTGACCAATTCTGATTATGTGCAACATAAATAATTTATCATCAAGCCAAAGAAGTTATTAGGAATCTAGGTGTGATATTGTGGTTTATAATAATTAATATATATTTGGTCTTTGTCCACTTTTCTGGCACAGAGCTCCTAAAACCATTGGAATTTCCTAAGTGATGAGAGTAATAAAGGTGTTTTTGTTATCTTAATGAGGTGACTTGGAAAGCACTTAGATAACCTAAAGATGGGGCTGGTTGCCAGTGACTCAACCATGTAATTAGAGGGTCTTCTCCTTCTCCTCTACCTCTGGGGAGTGGAAAGAGACTGGAGGTTAAATCAATCACCAATGACCAATTATTTAATCAATCATAACTATATAATGAAGCCTTGATAAAAACCCAAAGGAATGGGGCTCAGAGAGCTTCCAGTTTGGTGCACATGAGGACGTGCTGGAAGGTGGGGCCCTAAGAGAGGGCATGGAAGCTCTGCGCCCTTTACCTATACTTTGCCTTAGTCATCTCTTCCATCTGACTTCTCCTGAGTTACATTCTTTTATAATAAACCAGTAATCCAGTAAGTAAAATATTTCTCTGACTTCTGTGAGTGGCTCTAGCAAATTAATCAAACCCATGGAGGAAGTCGTGAGAACCTCTAACTTATAGTCAGTAGGTCAGAAGTACAGGTAACAATCTGGACTTGAGATTGGTGTCTGAAGTGGAAGGCGGTCTTGTGGGACTGAGTCCTTAACCTGTGGTATTTGATGTTATCTCTGAGTAGATAGTGTCAAAATTGAACTGAATCATAGGACACCCAGCCTGGATGTGTGGGGAAGAACTCACATAATAGAATTGATGACTAGACTTAGTTGGTGATCAGAAGTGGGATCAGAGTTGGAATCTTACTGTTAAAGAGAAAATCAGAGGCTCAAAATGGCATCACTTGTTCTAAAGCCTATCATACCAAACTTACATTTAATATCTGACCTAATTGCAGTTTTGACCTTCCCCAGAAATTTAATCGTCATCAGTCTGGAATTTTCTGGTCAGTCTGTCACTGTAAGCCCTCTCCATCTCCCAGAAGAAGAAGAGGTAATCTGCGTGATAAAACCCTTTCCATTTCCTGCAAAGAGATGATGTCCTAGCCCAAAACAATCCTTTCTTTTCTTTTGCTAATAACTTCCATACCCTACCCTCCTTTTGCTTATAAAAGCCTTCCATTTTTACAACTCCTCAGAGCATTTCTCTGCTTCCTAGATGAGATGCTGTCTGCTTCATGATTTGTTGAACAAAGCCAAGTAGATCTTCAAATTTACTCTGTTGAATTTTGTTTTTTAACAGAACCATTCTTCCTTTTTAAAATAATGTTCTATTCAGTTCTGATCCATTATGGATAGAATTATATTTCAACAATCAAAGGCAATGTTTATTTCCACATTCCTGGGACGTACTTTATTTTTAGCCCTACTACCATTGATAAATACCTTACAAATCTTTAAGAATTACTTGAACACAAGAATCCATGCCTGAAGAAGAAAATTTCTTCAAAGAGTTTTGTCAAAATACCTGGAAAAAGATGGGTAGATGTCAAATACTCTGTTGCTCTTTTTTTTCAATGTTAACTGAAACCAGCGATTTTTTTGGAAAGAAAAGACTATTGGCTTTTGCTTAGCTGCTCAAGCCTTCAGTGCTAAGTGCTGACCCTAGAGCTTAGTGAAGCCTTTCTAAACCAATGTGAAAGATGAGGCTCAAATTCTACAAATTGTTTTTGTGAATTGCACTTAACAGAACCAAATCAAGCAATATCTTTAACTTTGAGGAATCATTTTTTTTTAATTATTTTGATTTCGAGAACATTAAATAATCACATTTTATGCTAATGTTAAACTCCATATTTGTTTTAAGATGAATATAATAAATTTTTGATATATAGTTTGGATTAGTTTACGTTTTTTTTAATTGAGGTGAAATTCACATAACATAAAATTAACCATTATAGGGGACTGGCCGGGTGACATAGTGGTTAAGTTCACACACTCTGCTTCCACAGCCCAGGGTTTGCGGGTTCAGATCCCGGGTCCAGACCTACACACCACTCATCAGCCACGCTGTGGCAGCGTCCCACATACAAAATACAGGAAGACTGGCACAGATGTTAGCTCAGGGACAATCTTCCTCAAGCAAAAAGAGGAGGATTGGCAACAGATGTTAGCTCAGGGCCAATCTTCCTCACCAAAAAAAAAAAAAAAAATTAACCATTATAAAATGAAAAATTCTGTGGCATATAGTACACTCACAATGTGGTGCAACCACTACTTCTATCTAGTTCCAAAACATTTTATTACTCCAAAAGAAAACCCCTTATTCATCAAGTAGTAATCCTACTTCTTAATATCTAAAGGTATTTTGGGGATTTTTTTGGCATTTTTATTTATTTTTTAGGTATACTCTCTCCGCTAGTTGATTTTATTTTAAACCTTATTTCTGCATGCTCTTTAAAAGAAATAAATTTTACATCTCAGATTTGTTTTTTATTTAGCATGTAGATTTCCTACAATGTGTCCAGATAGTATGCATGTTAAAAAACACCCAAGAAGATTATATTTAATTTTGCATATTACATTTTTCTAATTGATATTCTTTATATCAGATTATTTACCTTTTAAATTTTGAGGCACAATTTTAAGGCTTTTGCATAAAATGACATATTTTAGACAATCAGCAAATATTGGCTGAATTAATATTTAATTTTGAGGAGAATTGAGGAAAAAATCAAATTTTTCTATTGGGTTCTTTTTATCTGAGATAAGTAACTTTGATTATATAATGAGAAAACGGTAATATTAAAGCAAATATTGCCCGTGAAAGATGTGTCGAATACTCCTGCTGTAAGTGCAGAAAATGGTAAAAGCAGTCAGGCTGCTGATGACAGTTTAGCCAAGGGTGATAATCCTTATTTCATCAACTACGTTTAAACAACTGAGTTTCACATTTCCTCCAAAGCACTTTGCACATGTCACACCACAAATTAGTGAAGTCTAAATTTCAGCTTAAGGCTCCATGCATCATTTAATAGCATACATTTGCTAACTGTAGCCAAAAAGCAGGCTTCCATCAGGGACCAGAAACTCCTCATTTACATAAGAATGGGAAGTTAATTGTGTTACAGATATTCTAGTCTCCCCAAGGAGTTCATTAAGCATGCTGAACATGCTGAGATTATAACTTAACTGTCACTTCTGAGAAATCGGGAAAATGCAACTTCAGATACAACACGGTTGGCAATAACAAGCATAATTTAATGTGTACATCACTCTGAATCAGAGCTAGGCTTCCAGGGAAATTTATAATATCTCTGATTTCTGTGTTCATTGCTAAAATAGTATATAATGTCTGGGAATTAAGTGATCTAGAGACCTTTCTGCCCACCCCACACCTGTCCCTAAAAATATGGATATATTATTTCCCACAGGTTCCAGTTACTGAAAACATTTTGTGGTGTTATGGGGTCAACTGAAATGCCTCATTTGCATTAATGTGTAGGGGAGGAAGAAATATTCCTCTACTCTTCTAGGTTCTTCTGGATGATCTAAGAATTAAATTGACATGAGACAGAAAAACAGGAGAAAATCAAACAAAATTTAATAACCTGTATGCCTGGGAGAAACCCATGAAAACTGAATAACTCCCCAAAATGGCTAAAGCCACCACCTTAAATACCATCTTTAGCTAAAGACAAAGGAGGATGTTGGGGGTAGTGGGTTGGGACTCAAAGGGGAGGAAGGCAATTCACCTGGTGATGGGAAAGCAAATGCTTGGTAAACCAATGTTTGCCATGCCTTGCAAAGACAATGGGACATGAAGAGGACTTTAATCAAAAGGAGCCTTCTTAGGTTCCTTCCCGTCTCATGCACCTAGTTTATTATACTATAGATATCCATGGTATTGGTTCCTTCCTAACATAGGCCTTCTATCTTAAATTGTTTTAGGCAGTTAGGGGGAAGTTCAAAGCCTCTTTCTGAGTCTTTTGTTCTTAAAAATAACCAAGCCGAAGAAACACATTTTGGGGTGGCAAATTCAGATCCCCCACAAATGAAAATTGTAAGAGTAAATATGAAGTAAAATTGGAAAAAATACAGATGTTAAAAAAGGAACAAACGTCACCATTAATTTTAAACAAAATTCATGTATAGATGTACATATGTAAGCATATATATACATGCACATATCTAGAAACATATATATTGTAATAATAATAATGATTTGGAGGGTGTTTTGCCTGTGGGGCAAATTATGCTCAGACTGAGATTGTCTTTGCCAATAATTTATATAACACAGGTTCACCATGGAAATTATGATTTATAATAATAGCATTTCCCAAGCCAATGGTATACAGGACACCGTCTCTGTCTCTCTCTTTTTTTCTTGCTGAGGAGTGGCCCTGAGCTAACATCTGTTGCCAATTTTCATCTTTTTGCTTGAGGAAGATTCGCCCTGAGCTAACAT